CAGGATTCACAGGTATTGCTATAGAATCTTTGTTACTTCAGTACTTATTATTATAATAAAATTCTGAGAATAAAATCCATACGAATATACGTTATCTTTATGCACACATATGCATAAATATTATGTAATTGCATTGCAAATCGTAAACAAATCATAAATGCCACCCCGTTACCAATAGATTAATTCGCACCCACATCATAGAAAAGGTTTATTTGGCACTTGCGATCTACTTATCCCCCAGCTCTGCTTTATTAAAGGGAATGAATGAATTTACTGTTTTCGCAAGTACTACAAACAGCGTAAAATTTAATACTGTATACAGAAAAGCTTGGTAAGTTTTGTAACATAATACTGTAAATTGAAATAAAATGTGTAACATGGATGGATATAGATTTTAAAAAGTAAGGATAGGGCTAATTGAAATAGATTTTCACTTATATGTAAAATTTCGTTCCCTCCACTCTTGGTTTTCGAGTATTCCTTTTTCTTTTCGCACATGTTCAGATTCATGATCCGAAATAGTAACGGTAAAATTTGATCTCAAAATGACTATCCCTTTCAAGAGTTTGTATTACTCGACGAAAATAAATAAGTGAACGCTAGTAAATATTTACTTCAAACTTTTTTGCGAGTGATGCAAACGCATAAAAAGAAATTTGACGTATAAACATAATATTTTAATTTTGTGTTAGGGTCGGTTATAGTTGGTTAGGATTCGTGATTAGAAGGTACGTATATGTAAAATTCGTTCCGCATTTTTAATTAGTGAACAGGGCAGGCTAAACACTCATTTTCTGCTTTCTTCACTCTGTACTCGTGTCAGGCTGATCCGGGAATAGACAAAGATTTAGTCTTCCGATTGGTTCAAATAAAGTGCACGCGAGCAGTAAATAGCAAATAATGAAAAATTATTTATAAATGTTTCGTGATACATTATCAATAAATAATTACACGGGATCTATTTTCTATTTCAGAACATTATTTAATAAATTGGTGTTCTCGGATTTATTTAATTAACGTAATTTCGGATCTCAAAAATTTTGAATTTCAGAATCGTTATTATTTATTATTATACATAGATAGCATATGTATATTCAAAACGAAATTTAGGAAATAATAGCTGCAAGAACATAATTGACCCGAGTGATGGGGAACGTATTAAATAACGGTAAAATTTCAAGCGAGGAAGTCTCGAGTGACATAATTGATGAAGATATGTCAAGTGCATGTGAGTAATACAATAGGATAATAAGTAATTAGGTTAATATAACTTTAATAAATGAATGTATATGATATTTAGTAATTTTATATACGGAAGAGTTAGAAAAGAAACTGGGAGACATAAAAAAGTTTAATTATCCGGAGTTTAAAGACAGAAAATTTGTTGGTCGTGGGGGATCAGCTGTCGTTTATTCGGCACTTTATCAAGGGGAAAAGTACGCACTAAAAAGTTTAAATAATAACTTAAATTTGGATAAAAAAATATTTAAGGAGATAACACGTGAGGTAATACAATGCATTAATATCTCATTTGGTTATGAATTTGAAATAAAACTATTAATTGTACTATATAGCTTGGACTTCTTTACCAATTTGACCATCCAAACATTGTCAAATTTCATGGAATTTCGATTGGCATGTAATCAATTTGAATTGAACATTTAAATTTGATTTTATCTTCGCAAATGATTGACAGTTTTAATTATTATTATTCTACGTATTTTTAAATATTGTGCAATTGTAAACCCAATTGTGACTTCTCTGCATATAAACTATTATCTTCGTTTCTTAAACACTATTTAATAAAATTTTTAGACCCACAAACGAAGAATTTTATTATGGTGTTGCAGTTTGCCGATGGCGGAACTCTACGGAATTATTTAAAAACAAAACATAAAGAAGGAATTTTTAAAATTTCATGGGCAGAACTCATACGAATCGCAAAAGAAATTACATATGGGCTGAATTATTTACATACTAAATCTATCATTCATCGAGATCTAGTAAGCTTTCTTCTAAATTTCTAAACTTAAATGTATACTGTATTCAATTTTAAATTAGCATAATATTTTCAATTCTTTAGCATTCCGACAATATCTTGATTAATGACTGTAAAGCTCTAATCGCAGATTTTGGTGTGGGAAAACAAACAGATATTACTGAAACCTCAACAAGTTCAAGTATATTAGGAATGATACCATATATTGACCCGCAATTACTTAAAAATCATGAATTAAAGCATGATGAAAAATCCGATATTTATAGTTTAGGTGTATTGTTCTGGGAACTTACAAGTGGAGTTCCTCCATTTCAACATCTTCGCCAACAAGCCATATGGTTAGAAATTTTAAAAGACAAAAAAGAAAATCCTATTCCAAATACGCCTTCAGATTACATTAATCTCTTCAATAAATGTTGTTCTCTTAATCCTGATAATCGCCCAACACTAGATGTAATTTCTCTCACTCTTGATGAATTATCAAAAGAAACTTCAGTCAAATTCATAATAAACAATCCAAAGAAAGTGCCGGAGGAAACTCAATTAATATTAGAAAATTCCAATTGCTACCAAAACAATACTTCTATTGAACTCATGCCGGAGGATAGTCAATTAATGTCAGAGCACTTCAAAGACTGTCAAAACAATATATATAATTTGTCAAAAGAAACCTCTGCTGAATTCATAATAAGCAATCCAGAGATAGCGCCGGAGGATTGTCAATTAATGTCAAAAAATTCCAAGGATTACCAAAACAATCCATGTAAAGAATTTAAAATTATTGATAGCATTTATATTATTTTGCAACCTTATTTTATTTCAGCTAACTCAATATTTTTATATTCAAGGCGAGCCTAGGCTCTTAATTATTTCGCATTTTTTACCGTGCAATATTGTTAAAACAGTTGCTGGTTATAAAATCGAAAAGTCTTTTAATGGTGTGGTGGATATACTTAGTGAACTTGCAAAATCAAGAAATTTTATTTGGATCGGACTACCTGGTATAAATTCAATTTTATTTATTTGATAGAGTTAGAGATTGAGATCGAATTTAAATCTTTGAATTTGCATATTGAAAGTTAAGTTTTAAGATTAAAATTCAGAAATTCAATTTCAGCATCTATAACATTGTACCTCTTCCAAATCTAGTATTTGGTTGCAAGAGCACATTTTATTTATTTTCTGAATTTATTAGTATATGCCTGGGGTACAAAAAAATTGCAATTAAATTTTATTACACTCATATTATTACATTTTTGCAAATCGCAATAAATATTACAATAAATGTCTAATTGTAGCTAAGCCATCAATCAATTAATGAGTTCAAATAATTGCAATTAATACCCACAATCAATAATTCGGTAGGCCTGGTATATACACGTGCAACAGTACTTACCAGATAGCATTAGCATTAATGTATCCATTTTTCACAATGTTTAAGATCAAAGATATTAAATTAGTTAAATGCTCAATTTTGTTAAAAAAAGATGTCAAATTTTTTCAATTGTTAGATCAGTTATTTATCCTATTATGCTTATAACAGCTATAAACAATTTTGAATAAATTACTTACTCATTTGTTTATTCATTTGAAAAATAATGTAATTTCTAACAATTTGTTTCTTTTTTCATTTAGATGGAGACGTGCCTGAAGAAAGAAATAAGATTACTGCACAGCTGAAGGAATCCTCATATTATCCTGTTTTTATTGAAAATTCTTTAATTAAAAGTCATGATAATTTCTCAAATTTAACTCTATGGACACTGTTTCATTATTATTCTGGTGATAAGCTTTTCTGTCAAGAAGATTGGGAAGCATATAAGTTTGTTAATGGTCTTTTTGCAGATGCTATTAATGAAATAGTTCAAGATAACGATTTAATATGGATACATGGTCATCATCTTATGCTTCTACCAGAAATGTTAAAAAAAAGAATTGGTAATAAAAAGTTAAATGTAAAGATTGGTTATTTCTTACATATACCGTTTCCTAGTAGTGAGATTTACAGGTATTACCATTTTTTAATTTAATTAATTATATTAATTGCAAAGTAATTTAAATGAAAATTGCTAAAGTTTTGATGTACATTATGAAACAGAATTCTTCCTGTTTGTGAAGAAATTTTGACTGGTGTTCTTAAATCTGACTTGGTTGGATTTCAAACACTTGACTATGCTCGTCATTTTCTGTCTTCATGCACTAGTATATTAGGCTTATTAACTAAGCCCAATAGTGTTTACTATGAAGATAGGCTTTTACATGTTGGCGCATTCCCTATCGGTATTGATCCAGAAAGATTCATTGGGGTATGTTTAGTTTGTTTAAATAATAAATATCTGAGGGCTTCCAATATAGTGCAATTTGAACGGAATGATTTATTATAATTATTAATTATTAATTATTAATATTTGTAATATTCATTATTTTCAAATTACATTTAATTGCACCGTTGTGTATACAGTAATAATAGACCTGAATACTTCTTTAGATCCTATAATATTCCCTGTTTGTTATTCACATGTTCTAAATACTGTTTTTTCCTGCGCATTTTAACTAAATTACAGAACTTAAATGAAATAGAAGTTCAAAGACATATTAAAGAATTGAAAGAAAAATATAAAGATATTAAAATTATTTCAAGCATAGATCAATTGGATTATATTAAAGGTGTTCCACAAAAATTACATGCATTTGATTTATTCTTGACTAAACATCCTGAATGGATTGGCAAAGTTGTATTTATTCATGTAGTCAAGCCTTCTCGATGGTCTACTGAAGAGCGTAATAATTTATTTAATGTTGTCAATGAACTGGATGGAAAAATAAATGGCAAATGTAGTACTTTTAACTTTTCACCTATTCACTTCATGCATTATAAGCTTTCTTTCGAGGAGTTATTAGCCCTATATACTGTGTCAGATGCATTCATAGTTACATCATTAAGAGATGGTATGAATGTTTTACCTCATCAATACATTTCATGTCAGCAAAAAAATAATGGAGTGTTGATTCTTAGTGAATTTACTGGTGCTGCTCAATGAATGTTTGGATGGTAATTCAATTTCATGCTTCTCGCTTTGATATTATTTTATATTAACGTAAGTTAAATATTTTTTAAAGGTTCTATTTTAGTAAATCCTTGGAATACAGATGAATTTTCTAATGCTATTTATGAAGCTGTTACAATGAATGAAGATTTACGAAAATTTAATTATCAAAAACTACATCATTATGTAATGAAACATACTGTCTCCTTTTGGGGAAAAAGTTTTACTGATAAATTAAAGGTAGTTAAGTTATATAAATGTATCTTAATTCATTAGAATCTTTATTAATCTTTATTTTATTGTAGTGCGTTAAGGGATATAGTTCTCAAATTGTGACCCCACATTTGGAAATTAATCAAGTTGTAAAAGTTGCAAACACTGCTAATAAGAGAATCATCTTATTAGATTATAATAGAACATTAATCACTCATAAGTTAGCAGAACTATCAAATAATATAATTTCTATTCTTAAAGCGCTTCAAAAAAAATCAAATACATATGTTTATATATTGTCTGGTCATTGTAAAGTTTATCTCGATGAACAATTTGAATCAACTGGAGTTGGTTTGTCTGCAGAACATGGCTGTTTTTACAAGCATCCAAAATGTTTACAAGAAAAAGTAAATCCTATTTTAAATCATGAAGGAAAGATTATAATGGAAGAATATAACGGTTGGTATAGACTTGTTGAACAAATTGATCCTGCATTAAAGGAAAAAGTTCTTCATTTATTTAATCATTACAAGGAAAGAACTCCTGGTGCTTCTATTGAAAAAAGAGAGATTGGTGTAATATGGCATTATTGTTCTGGTCCTGAGTTTGGTAAATTTGGATTATGGCAAACTTTGGGTTTACAGGATAATTTAATAAGCAAGTTAGGTTTTATGCCCTTAAAGGTAGGTTGTTGTTTTTTTTTTATCAGTTATATATTTGTAATGTTTAAAGTTGCACTTGCCTGGAATTACGACTTAATGCAGACAAGACCTAATTTCTAGCCTAATTATAGCTAGGTCTGAGGTAGCAACTCAGACAGATGCATAACATATTTATTAAGTTATTCCATTAATCATTAATTTTATTTTAGACAATTTTGGGAGATAATAAGTTAGAGATCCGATCTTCGTTGATTGATCAATCAACTGTAGTTCGAGCCATCCTTAAAGATTTAAACGTTACACAAGATTCCTTTGTACTTTGCATTGGTGACGAAAGTCCAGATGAACCTGTATTTTCCCTACTAAAAAATGATGAATTTAAATCTTTGAATTATTTTACGAGTACGGTTGGGAAAAAACAAACGGATGCTAAGTTTTTCCTTGAAGATATTCGCGATGTTCAAAATTTATTAGAAAAATTGGCATCAGTTCTGTCTGATTAATTAGTTTTATTCGTAATACAAGAATCTATAACTGCTCCTTTACAAAATTACGGTATAACTTATTAAACGGAATTTTGGAAGTTCTAGTCAGAGATAGAACATATTATTCCACGAACTGTACAGCTAAAAAATTTGTCTTAAATTGAACTAGGGTATTCGGTATCATACAATGGATTTGTGCACTATAATCAAATCAAACGTGTACATACGTGTAAAAAACGAATAAAAATAAAATACATTAAATAATTGGCCCTTACAGTATTAGTTTATCTGTAATATTCTTTCTTGTTATCTGGCGTGATTTGACGGATACATGGTTGTCGGCAGGATAAGGTCTCGTGCGTTGCAACTATACTGCCGATGTCCACGATCCGTATGTCATGCCAAATAACTAGCGGATTTTTATATTAAACAAGAAAAATCGGGCGCCGTAGGTGCCCCTGTTTTTTTCTATTAATCAATGCGGCTGATTTTGCGTGCATTAGAATTACCACAAGTTACTGCAAAATTCCTTTACGAAATTTGTTCGCTATTGCAATGTGTGGATAAGGTTGAGTTAGTTTTCATCAAAAGTATAATGAACTCTATCATTGAGCTATGGTCAACTAGAGATTAGGCCCGTATAAAATTTCTTTTCCGGATAACCCGACCCGCATTACAAACTCAAAACCGGGTAACGACCCGGTTTATCTCAAATGACCCGCGTAACCCGTGTAACCCGGTTAACCCGGTAAAAATTTTGCATTTTCACTTTTATTTGTTAAATTATATAGGGGAAATTACAAATAAGGGCCCGGAAAGTGGAAATAATTACAAATACGGGCCTAAATTAAAAATAATTGCATACAAGGGCCTAATTTTACGTATAAGGGCCCAAATCTATTGATGGCTGGAAGATGGATCACAGGCTTGATAGCAAAATCGCAATTATAGGATTATCGATTGTTTTATTATAGACATTTAGAGTTATCTATCTACTGATTATTAGATAAAAGGATAAATAACCATTTTTGCACAATTATTCATAAGGCGAAGTTTCAACAGAGTAGCTCTCTAAAGCTAAACGAACATCTATATTAGATAATTACTAATTTACAATCGATGGTTACATTTTTTATGCGATGCTTACATTTCTTATACTAATAAAGATCAAGCCACAGATGTGAATAGCATCACGGGCCCCTATATGTAATTATTTTAATTTGGGCCCGTATTTGTAATTATTTTTACTTTCCGGGCCTTTATTTGTAAATTCCCCAATTATATATCTAAAAATAACATATACGTAGTAAAATAAAAGTACATAATACAAATGTTCTTTAAAAAAGTTAATTTTTTATGAAATACTAATTAAATCATTATTTCTTTTTAGAAATAATATTTGGGAAACTGTTACAGGATTGAGACGAGATCGCTTTGGTGTTACTTGATTTCCTGCATCTGAGAATAAGCGCTCACTTGGAACAGAAGTGGCTGGAATAGACAAGTATTTTTTGTTAATTTGCTTAATTTTGGAAAACCCTTTTCTCATTCTTTCCACCATACCAAAGGTTGAGTTTCTTGTGTGGCAATAGGTATTTTATCAATATCCAAATATTTATCTAATTCATTATCGTCTAGTAGATTATCGTCTTTATCATCAAATATTGATGTGAAGTACCGATTTGTTGAAGTTACACTGGAAGAAGTAGACTGTATAGGCATTATGTCAATAATAATATTATCAATTTCTTCATGGCATACTCTAATTGTCTCATTTTTTAAATAATTAGATAAGGTACGCAATTTTTTAAGCCTAGGATCTAGTAGAGTCGCTAAGAGACCGGTGTCTTTTGGGTCACCTCAATATTTACAAAGCGAATTGTAAATTGTCTATTTAACTTGAGCAATTACTGATTGAACGTCACAATCCTGAACCTCTCACTTTCACTATCACTACTATCGTTACCTATATTTGTTTGTAGAAGATAAATACTAAATGTTAATATTTTACATTAATATGTAGTAGCAATTTCAAATTACAAATATTAATTACTATATTCATTAAAATCATCTTCAGTTAAAGTTAAATTTGGGTCTTTTTCAAATTTGGATTTTAGAACTTTAATTATAGGATATACAACTGACAATGTAGGATATTTTTCAGCACTGAATGCTTCAGTCGCTATTTCAAATGGTTCAAAAATTTTAACCAATTCTTCAACCAATTTCTATTCATTTTCGTCAGGTAAGCATCGCCCAAGATTTTGTCCATCTGAATTTTGTGAGATTTTTAAATTGGCTTCTAGCTATATTATTGCATCTTTTAGCTTTAATAATCTTTTCCAAGATCGATATGTAGAATTCCATCGCATTGGACAATCTTTAATTGGGTGAAGTAGTTTGGAAGTAGTACTTATTTTTGGTTGCTCTGGATCTGTATCTTCATATTTAACTTTACCAGTATTCTCTTCCTTAAAATAAAATTCAGCATTTACTAAACTAGATAAAGCTAATTTATCTCTTTCCATTACTATCATTTGCGCTTTTTCTAATCTTTCCTGTTGTTTTGGAGAATCAAAAAAATTGACTAATTTTCTTATTTTTTTTGGTTGTGAGAAAATTTTTTTTAAGACATAATTAACTGTTAACTGCAACGTGTGTGCAGCACATGGCAGCCAGGTAACATTATTCTATAATCAAATAGCTTTTACCATATTAGCGCCATTATCAGTAACAGCGCATGTAATTTTATTTTCTAAATTAAATTCTGAACATTTTTTTTTAAGAAACTTATAAATAGATTCGGCAGTATG